TGTTCGCTCACCAGACAGTCGAGCTGAGAGACGGGGCTCTTGTTGCCGGGGTGGCTGATGTCCCAGACCTTGACGCAGCCCTTCCCGCCCGTGTACACGTGTCTTGTGGGGTTGCTGATGGTCACGGCGCACACCACCTCCCCGTGGTTCAGGGTGTTGATCTGGCGTGCGTGCCGGGGGATTCCAGGTCCGATGAGGGCGTCAGGGGGGAAAGGGACAGGCTGCATCTGACCGTCTGCAGTAACGTGGAAGGAGTATGCACTTTTGGAGAGGGGGATGGTTGGAGAGAAAGACAGGATAGGAGACAGAGAAAACATTTATCATAAAGCAGCTGGTCATTAGCTCAGCAGCATCTATAAGAAGACAAAGAAGGGAACGATTCTCCTTAGGATTTTCTTGAGATCAACAGAAGCTGAAGTATTTACCGAAGGAGCAAATTTAAAATACATAATAACGGAAGCCCAGGGTGTACCAAAAGACAGGTATATTGAACTATATTTTTTAAGTATTTAACTTATTTTTCAATTGTGTCTAACCATTCCATAAAGCATTCCTTCCAATCCCATATAAAATGCTAACTATGCTTCCAAATTAACATAAAATACCTCCTTCCATGTACATTGTATAATTTTATGATTTCTTAGCATAATTTTAAATGATTATTTTTTATGCTTCAGATGAAGCCCTTAAGAACTTGTAATAATTTCACACAGTAAACAGTATATTTCAACAATGACAAACAAAAACAGTTTTCTCAATGCACCAGTTTCAGGCTTGAATTTACTCTCGCATAATCAAGAGAAAATAATAAAAGATTCTCTTACATCAAATAGCTTGATGATATATTTCAAGTTTTCTCCTCGACAATCTCCCTGTCTCCTTTGGCCATGAACCCCAGTTTTATCTAAGGCAGCAAAGCTACTCTTTGCTTCGCCATGTTCCCACCACTGAGATGTACATGGCTCAACAAACATGCACTGCTGGGTGGCATTAAGCTCATAACCTCAAAGGAAGGGGTCCTGGGGGGGATACAGAAGCTCTCTGTACCTTTGGCTCAATTTTGCTATGAACCTAGAACTGCTCTAAAAAGTAAAGTTTATTAATTAAAAGAAAAGGAATTTTAGAAGGGGAGGAGCATTGGGGTTCCTGCCTGCCCTCTTTTCTTACTCCTTCCTAATGCCTTAACTATGAGCAAGGTGACCCGAGCTCCACCAGCCCTTGGGGGCCACAAGCTGACTCTGAAGATGGAAATCAACTGCTGAAGGAAGTGGAACACAAACACAGGATGCAGAGCCCTGCTGACAGCCGGTATCTTTTTATGGGAGAGAGAAATAAACTTTTATGTTACTTCAAGCTATTGTTTTCCTCCCGCGTTCAATATGAACAAACCTAATTCTAGGACATTCTTGTTTCCACCCCAAAATCTTAAAGCATATTGTACGCTTTAAGATCTAATGACTTAAAATCCAAGCACTAATATATCACAGGCATTATAAAACATGCACAGAAGAAAAGATACTTTAGAGGGTGGAAGATGCAGAAATGCTAATATCCACCCCCAACATCCAAACGGATGGAATTATGCACTTTGAAGACCACTGCTTTCACTTTCTTCCTATCTGAAGCCATCACTAGGCATTCTAGAAGTTCAACATGAAGACTTTTCTATAGGTCTGCATACATAACAAATGAAGTATGTAGAGTTTCCTCCTGTCTGTGACCCACTGGGTAAGTCTGGGCCCTTTATGGAACTTGTCATTGGCACC